TTGTACCTGTGTCAGGACAGTTGTATTTGTTGTTTTCTTCTGGATCATCACACTCCTCCGCTGCATGGTCGTCTAACGGGTACTCGTCTGTCTGAGTCCCCGCGGACTTGGTACTGGTCGACTTTGTAGACCCCGACGTTGTGCTTCCCGACTTCTTTTTCATGCTTTTTTCTTGCCTCGCAGTATTTTTTCCCACCACCCTTTAGTTCTTCCGGTTGATTTTTTGGTTGGGCGTCCCTTTCTAAATTCGTTCACTTCTCGCTCGTGAATGTTGTCCTCCGCCGGGTGGAGACCGCGAAACACGTTCTTTGCTGCTTTTTTCGTTTGCCTCTGGTCCTCTGCGTACAGCCTCATCAACCAAATCCTGAAGGTGACATCTAGCCTCCTCCTCCTGGGGAACGTACTCCTGAGCATTGGGTGGATGCTCGTATGACAGTGTCCGCCAATATATATGAATATCACCGGGGATATATCTCTATGTCTCGCGCTCTGCCATCCATAATTTGACATCCACACCTCAAGCCGTGTGTCACAGAGAAATGACATGCACATCGAGAGTTCTCATTTTTTTCCAAGCGGGCAGCCAATTCTTCTTCAGCCTCCTTCATTAATATAATTGCCTGCATGCTGAACTTCCTTCTCAAGTATGTGAATGGTGTACCACCGGATGCTGAAAGGGTTTTTTGTTTAGAGTTTTCCAACATCATCCTAACCTCCCCGAGTTGGTTAGTAATGTAGCGGTGGTTTCCTTTCCATACAGTGTCCATAGATCCCCGCGAGTTGTGGAGAAAAGTTTTCAAAGCGGAATGTGACGACTCAACCCTGTTTGTGCTCGTATTTCCTAGATAAAACACATTTTTGGTATGACAAACAGCCCATTTTTCTCGATGTTGCCACCACACTCCCTGTATGTATTGCAACAGACGTGGTTCGTAATTGCCCCATCTTGTCCTAAAGCGGCCAAACGCGGCCAACATACCTTGCTCTGACCAAGAATAAAGCATAGGACACCAATATTGGTCGTACGCCTCGTTGACCAAATCCATCATGTCCTTCCCAAATATTTCCAAACACTTCTTCTGCACATTGGTGTTGATGTGCCAAGCACATAGCAAATGCGGGGTGCGGGGGAAGACCACAGGAACCGTAGCAAGTAGTCCACCTTCGTGGTCGATGACGATGACAGTGGGCACGCGTGGATGGAGCAATTGTTGTATGCGCTGCAACAGCCACAGATACGACTCTTTTGTCTCATCCTTCATGAGAGCACAACAGATGTTGAAATTCTTCCCAACTGGAGTAGCACCTACGACCTCCACCCACGGCCATTTATATGCATTGGTCTTATACGTTGAGTCGATCAGAATCACGTACGGCCAAGCCTTCAACATCTGGATGGAAGTTGGATGGGCAAAAAAAAGATGTGTCAGCACGTCGTCATCGTCCTTCATAACCTCTGTATGATAATTCTCACGTTCAGCTGCTAGCAACGCATACTGCACTGCATTCATCTCGCCCATCTCGTCTTTCCTAGACTTGGACCCGAGGTTATACATCTGCCTTTGGGTGTGATGCCCTTTGTCACCCTTCTGCTTGTTTATTGTCCGCTTCTGTTGCGATGGAGGTACCCCAACATCTCTCATCTCCCTCAGAGATTTTTTATCCTCCTGACTCAATTTATTCATTTGACTGTGGCCCTTGGGATAAAGCATCTTCTCATGATTGTGATACCCTCGCCTTAAACCGGTTCCTTGCTCCGTCACTCCTTGTATCTCCCAGAATGAATGTCCATCAAGAGCATCTGGATTAACCAATAGTTCTTTGATTTTAATCTTGAACATGCATCCCGATCCTTTTGAACTTGTATTGTCACGACTCTCATTGGAAGGATCCGGCTTGTATGACTTCCTCTCCCTACTGCATCTGTCGCAATACATATAACAGATACCCAATACTCTTTTGTTGCTCAACTCACGTGGCTTCATCGATCCCTTAGTTAGAAAGAAACCAAGAGACATCGCGATGTTCTTGGTCACTGTTACAGCATCTTCGAAATTGTCATATCGGACGTGATTGAGAAAATGGTCTGTGTAATCACCAATTAGTTCAACATTGTAAGCCATGTCCACCTGCAATTATGATTTTACAACTCGTTAGAAATGTACAAATTATATGATTCTACAAAATTAAACTAAATGCAGTAATTTAATTAAGTCTAAAAAATAATGATAATTTAAATATCAATTATTAAATCAAATTAGCTCTACGAATTAAATCTAAACACAATAAACTAATTTGCGCTACAACAAAACACAATCACTTAATTAAACTAATTGTGCTTCAATTGACTCTACAAAATTAAACTAAATGCAATAATTTAATTAACTCTAAAAAATAATGATAATTTGACGATAAGAAAATTATTTAAATATAAATTATTAAACTTCTTTAGCTCTACGAATTATATCTAAACACAATAAACTAATTACCGCTACAACAAAACACAATCACTTAATTAAACTAATTGTACTTCAATTGACTCTACAAAATTAAACTACATGCAATAATTTAATTAACTCTACAAAATAACCATAATTTGACAGTAAGAAACTAATTAGTGCTACAACAAAATACAATCGCTTAATTCAAACTACATATGAATTTAACTATGTAAAATAGAAATAAAAACAATAGATTAAATATAAATTATTAGCTCTAGAAATAATAACCTATCTCAAATTTTAAAAAAAATATAACACTGCCGACTCCGATGCATCCGGTCCCCTGCGACGGGCGCGTCCGACGCCAGCGAGCGGACGGGGTCCGACGACGGTGAGCAGACAGGCAAAAAAATCCAGGAAGTCAGTGGGGTTTACCTGCTTCGCTGGTCCGACGATGGGGTACGGCTGTCGTCCAGTGCCCGGCGAATTATGCTGACGAGATTGGTCCGATCGCCGGCGACTTAGGCTGTCGTCCGGTGGCCGTGAATCTGGCTGTGGTGTTTGTGGGGGGTTGGTGGTCGGAACTCGGGTAGTGTGTATGTTGTTTAAAACACCATTTCAGCGAATAGAATATAAAGAAAATTTTGAAGGCAAAATTGTCTTTTTAGTGATTTTTACGGGCGGCAAATAATAATTACCCGGGCGGCAAATAGTAACCCTCAAAATATTGGGATTTGGTCAAAGAACTTGTTCTTGTTGCAACTACTAACTACTAGAAACATGTGGGCTGCGATGCGGTGGCTACCGGCGTCGTCGGGACGAACCCACCACCGCGTGGAAGGATAATGCCCCAAAATTAATTATTAGCAAATTATTATCATTATGCTTTCTAATTTCATTTTCTTTTTCTGTCATCAATCCATCCAAAAACAACGGGCCGTTTCCGGAATTTCACGAACTAGTCGCCACACGCCACCACTACTGCACGACGGTTTCGCCAACTCAAAGTCGACGTGTACCGGCTAGCAAGTAAGATCCGGACATCTGTCCCGTTCGGCCACCATTAGCCAATCATAATGAAGCCCATGACGCAAACGCATCGGCAAGCCCAGAGGCCTAAAATTTGTTTTTATTCATCCGTAAATCCAAAATAAAAGCCGACAAGCGAGGACGAGGTTTTGGGTAATTAGAAACGGACCGGCGAGCTCGTTCTTTCTCTTCCTCGCCCCCCCCCCCCTTCGTCTCTCTCTCTCACACCTGAACTCTGCTCTCAACGATTCCGGCCGTGCCGATCTCGCCGTCGAAAACATGGTAAGTTTGTTTCCCGCCGCCGTTTGTTTCTCTCTTGATATGTAGCCTTTTTCCTCCGCGGCGTAGATCAGATTCCTTGTCGTCTAGACGAATTAGTCCGTCATGTAATTGATCATCGAATCGATCCGATCCGATCCAGCTATAAGTCCGCCAATATTCACTTGGATCTGGGGTGATTTGGTGTTCTCAGTTTTTACTGCATGGTGTTTTTATGGTTTAGATCGTTGCCAAGTTTGACCGCGAATGAGGGAACTAGGGATTGCATGATATTTTTAGCTCTGTTTGTTGATTCGTCTCTGGTGCAACTATCAATTGATTTTGATGATCATTCAATTCAATGGCGTTGTCCATTTGATAATTCTGATGACGAATGTTGAATCCAGGGATTGGATAACGAGTACTTTCTTTGTCGATTGCTCTATCTCTTTGGATCTTTTTGGGGATAATGAATCGATATCAATTTGTGGGGTTCTCCGTTCAGAAATTTGATGAGGAATGATGAAACTAGGGATTGCATGATGAGTCGTTCTATGTGGATTTGTCTTTTGGTGCAACATCTTGAGGAATATGGAATTGATAATAAATGGTGTTCTCATGCTGTTCAATCCTTCTTTTCTTCCTGGTTGTGTTGTCAACAGACTACATCAAAGAGACTTGCGGACAGGAAGATTTCAAAGTTCGACAAGAACATCTTGAAGAGAGGAGCTGTTCCTGAAACCACTGCCAAGAAGGGGAAGGATTACCCTGTTGGACCTTTCCTCCTGGGGTTCTTCATCTTCGTCGTCATTGGATCATGTGAGCCCTACTTTTCACCTCAATAATCTTTATCTACACATCTCATCTCAATTTGTAAGTCCTTTCGCATTTTCTCCATGGCTGCTGGAATCTTTCAGCTCAATCAATCAGAATGATTTTTCGGGTTTAGGATATAAATAGGAAGAACTCTTTCCGTCCCCAGTATATCTTACTAGAGTTGGATCAAACCCGCTTTGTCAACAAACAAAATACCCTCCAGAGAAATTTCAGAATTTGGAATAGATCTCTGTGTTGATGTCTTTGATAATGAGTTAGTTGTTTGCTTCTGATGTATGGGATTGCTAATGGTGAGTTTTTACTTTTGGCAACAGCTCTGTTCCAGATAATCAGGACGGCAACAAGTGGAGGCATGGCTTAAGTTTGGTGGAAGAACTGATTTTACTTTAGAGAATGACAATCTTAAAATGAGTTGTTTCGTTTGTTCTTTGTCCCCTTATCTATATAGCATGTAACGATGAAAAAGAGTAAAGATAATGTGTTCGTGTACTGTGATTTTCAGGAATCTTAATAAACAGTTCGTTCGGTCCCTCGTTATTCTTTGAGCAACAACTCCTAAGTTCGCCCCTTCTTTGTGTGTCTCACAGTTCGATCCGATGTGCCCCCGAACAGTGAAAATGACACGAATTTGCTTAACAAACGGGGAGTTAAAATGCATCAATCACCAGGAAAACCATCAGTGATCAGACTGCCACTTTCAACCAATTGCAAGCAATTCAATAGTCTCTGCAAACATAACAAGTTATTCGTTCACAACATAGTCTGTACAATCAACGGCTACAAACCAAAGAAAAACGAATGCACCGTTTTCTACTTGATCGACGAAACAGGATGCAGACAGTTGCAGTCTTACAGATTGTTCGTTTGTCGATCAAAACAAAAGAGAAAAAGAAGAGAAAGAACGGAACCATGCATAGAGGGAGGGAGTCTGATGAATATCAGGCCACGGCAGTAGGTGAAGGCTGAAAGGCAGTGCCACAGGCGATCCACTGCTTCTTCCTACCTCCACTTGGCACCAAGCAACTTGGAACCTTATCCCACTCACCGCTCGCCACGTCGTACGTGACCAGCCGGTTCATCTGTCTCGACCTCAATGACAGCATAAGCAAACCTTTCTTGTTGCCCAAGCAAGTCATCCTCACGTGCTTCCCGTAAAACTCCAAGCACCACAAGTTTGGCATTCTGTCTACCTCCTTCCACAGCATCGTCATCCTCTGCAGCTCCCATATACACACACACGTAGCTGCGTTCTTCGTCAGCAGGCCCACCAGCATGATCCGGCCAGAGCACTCTGCCAGCGCCTGATCGTTCAGATGTAAGGGGGCAGGAATCTCGAACTGGGACCACATTCCGGAAGCCACATCATACGAGACAATCCCCTCGGGATCAGAACGCATGAAGTACAGAGTGTTCTCAACTGAAACCACCTGAGACCGGAAGTTTAGAGATAACGGAAGCTTGATGCTGGCTGGCATTGAACCAGGTCGAGTCCACGAGTTGCTGATCGAGTCATAAACCTCGTACTCACCGTCACAACCCACCCATAGAATCTTATACGCATTCCGGTTGAAGGTCATCCCAACGGCAACACGGGACCATACCTTCACAATAACAAAAGCACAAAATCACAAAAATGAACACAATCACAAAAGTTTTCCCATTTATCAAACCGGATACATGAGCGACCATACCTTGACTGAACGAGCAGGCAGCTCTCTGACAGAACCAGTTAGAGGGTTGCAGACGTAGAAGTTTCTATGGCCGATATCGAGGAAGCAGACAAGCCCTCCTGCTGAAGCCACCGGCAAGACGATCGCCTTATCTGGGAGAGAGGAAACCGTAGGGTGGTGGTACCATTTCTTCGAGGAAGGATCGTACATGGCTCCTGAGTTTGCGTTTTCGTGAGTTATTGTGTAGAACCATGGGTCGGGTTGTGGAGCTCGCGTGGAGTGGTGGTAGAAGCTCTCAGAGTGCAACAAAGAGTTCCATTTCTTGCAGACCGAACGGAACTGGAAGAATGTAGGAACGGGTAGTCTGGCAATGACGGGTTGGAAGAGGTCTTCTGGGAAATCCTTCCAGATTTCAGCTTCCATGGCCTCTGTTGTGCTAGTAGGGCAAGGGAATTTGCCTCGAGTACTACGCTCTTTCCGTAATTTCTTTGCGGGTGGAGGCTTGGTGGGTTCCAACACTGTGAAAGTTTCTGGCTTTTCGGCAGCCATCAGGAGACCGCAGTAGTCATCTGCAGAGCCATCTTCCATGTTGAGGACACAGCATCTGCACGAACAATTCATTAACTTTATACTGTACAAAAGTACTAGTTCACTAATCATTAGTGATTATGAAAACAGGTGTTAAAGCATAGAGATAAACATCAACCGAGGCTTTACTGGATCTAGGATTTACTGTTTGATGGCTTCTAAGTTCCATATTCGTGGTCTGTAAGTTTATGAGCAGTGCTACTGACTTCCATACCTCTGTTCACAATCATGATGACAACCATAGAGACTGCATCTAGTTGACAATAGTTACCAGAACTGCATTCAGCTCCTCGTATAGGACAACAACTACGGCTCCAACAGTAAGTGGGGAGATTCACAAATAACTCCTCAACAGATTCAACAATCAACACTACTAGGAGTATCAGGCATCACCCAATAAAGCTCACTACACAGTATATCAGAAAGCCAGGTTATCGTCAACAATGAGCTCGGTGATGTTACCATAATGTAGCTGGAATTGCTGGAATGAAAATTTTCTGCTAGAATGAACGAGCTCAATGGCTTGTCAGCAGAAGGATGATTCGATAAGAAATTTGGAGAAGGTAAAAAGGTTTTCGCTGATATTCTATGACTCTACCAAGTAAATAGAAAACAGCAAAATCTCATATAGAACTTCTTTAGAATTCATACTGCAAAAACAAAATGTGTGGAACTGTTAGACAAATTCAAGGAAAATCTCCAAATGAGAAAGTAGTTACATGACAAGCTTGTGTTTCTCTTTCAGTGACAATCACAATTCGTTCATTCATACGCCCATCACTAACAATCCAACACATACATGCCTATAACATCAAAATTGACACAAACTACAGTACCAAATAAGAGATCTTTCAGAGGGCCCCAACTAGATACATTGATAAGGTAGCATTTTGCAAGATCATTGAGCCAAATCGCCGGTAGGTAAAACCTTAAAGTAGTTAGATACTCTGGCACCTTAGCCTACAGAATAAGGTGCACCAACTCTAATTCTTGAACAATCAACAACGAAGGAACTACCAAATGAAGAAAAAGGCACGAAATATGATAGGTAAGATCAACACCAGCAACAAAATGGAACCCGAAAAACTCAGCTACACTCCACGCAAAACTGAATCATTAGAAAACGAAAAACCCGAGGTTCAGAATACATAGAACAGGCCAGATTAAGAAGAGGAGGCAATCATGAGCAGTGGAGGAAATAGAGAAATGGAGCTACAATATGAATTCATCACGAGTGGCCGTAAAGCAATTCAGAAGAAAAAAATTTCCCGGAAAATTTACAGAACTGAAACCGAACAAAACCTCCACATTGCGTGCCATCACACGGCAGGGGGAAAATCTGAAATCCTTCTTCGATTTTCCAGTTCTCAACTCCACCTAACTGACCGAACTCTCACACACTCACACGGACACTAGATTAACCTCGACAACCTGATTAATCAACAAGGGTTGACGCGGGAACCGCAGTAAGCTCCCATTAAAGAATCTGAACCAAATATTGATATCCCCCAATCAAAGAAGAATCAGGAATTTCGGAAGATATAAAGCAACGAAAGAGATCTGCCGAGAGAGAATTAAATAGGTAGATAGTCAGATACCTGTCATTGTGAGGGAGGAGGAGGTGGTGGTTGTTGAGATGGCGGAGCGGCGGCGGAGGAGGAGAGCCGTAGAAGTTCAAGAGGTCTTGGAGCTGAGCAATGAGCTGGCGGAGCATGGCCAGCTCTTGTTCCATGCCACAGCTCCCTCCGCAGCTGCTGCGGCTTCTTCGTCTTCGTCTACTGCTTCTTCTCCAGTTTCAGAGAGAGAAGGAAGGAGGAGGAAGCCGCGGTTGGCTTTTCATCTTCATCGTTCCTCGTCCCTCCGCCCCAGACAAAACACACAACGCATAAAAATAGAAAGGACGAAGAGAGAGAATGAGAGAGAAATGGGAAAAAAAAGGAGGTGTTGTAACCATTAAACTTATTAGTAGGGCTGAGCATGCGGGCGGATCATCCGCGGGTTTGGGCCGACCCACCCGCATTTGACCCGAATTTTATTAAGTGGGTGGGTCTGTGGGTGGGTTACGGGTTGCGCTGGGAGCCATCCGCCGGGTGGTGGGTGGGTTGTGGGTGAGTGTGCGGGTGACCCGCTCAACCCAACATCAAAAAGATTAAAGTTGTTGCCGCTAGAGAGAGGAGAGTGGAGACGTTAGATATAAACTCGTACTGCTCCTGGAGTTTGAACCTCAAAGCCAACCTTCCAAATAGAGATCCCCTCTTCTTTCCTTTACTTTTTCCTCTAATTCTTGTGCCTAGATCACCGCTCTTTCCTTTGTGGAATTATTTTCCTTAGTTCCTTGCACCTAATAATCGTCTCAATCTGTAGAAAACTCTTTCATAATAGAATTTGTATCTAATTTAAGAACTAATTCGACATTTTTCGCCCTATTTCAACTTCTTATTTCCCTCGATGATTCTCTTCACCTATTATCATGTCAAGTTGACTCCTTTATATTATATACATTGTGATGTGGGTGAACCCACAAACCCACCCGCATCATCCACCATCCGCCCGACCCAACCCGAGACTAAATGTGGGTGGGTGGTGGGTTAAAAATTATCAATCCGTTTAAGCGCGAATGGGTGCATTTTATCGTCAAAATCCACCCGACCCACCCAATGCCCACCCCTACTTATTAGTGATGGTAATGGCCAAGACCGATACCTCAATACTTATGCTTCGCTCCATGTTATTATGGGTCGCGGTGGGCAAAATTCACGTAGGTATGGGGCAGGCGGACCGATCCACTCTTATATGTTATTTGAAAAAAATATACGCAAATTTAGCATTTTACAATAAAACAAAGGAAAAAACACTTTTATGAATGAAAATAGTAATAATAGAATGAGTAATTAAGTCTAACAAGTTGAAAGATCGACTCTAGCTATTAAAAGAAATATGTGTAGATATTGTAACAAGTTGCCATCACTAATTAAACTATGATTCTCCTGCCGGTTTGATTTTGTATAATTGACGTGATCGATTTGATTTTTTTTAACAAAATGACGTTGTTTTGGTAGATTTTATTAAAATAATTTTTTTCTTAAATTTGAAAGTTAAGTGTTGATGTTATTTATTGGATTCAAGTCAGAGTGTATAGATATTATTTGTTCGATTTAGTATAAAATTTTAAAATTTTTCATTAAATATGATAATTTTATTTTATTTGGAATGTTGTATTTTATTTAAGTTTGAATGTGGATTTTAGATAGATTGTCTTCAAACATATTATATGTATGTCTAAATTAATTTAGTGTTAACGATTTTCTATTTTCTTACATGTTTTGCGAAAGACAACATGAACTGGTATAAACCGGTTGTAGCACCGGTGGCACCATATCAGTTTCCAAACATACATAATGGTATAAACTAGTTTTCCAAGCTCAAGTACATTTCATTTTTTTACGAACGAAGGCTTAGTCTAGTGGTAACCTTTGAAATCTTAAGTAGTACCTTTTTTTTGCCAAAATCTAACTTGTATTACCAAGAAACTGAGAAGTTACCAACGTTTACAACCCATCAAGAAAACCAAATTTTACAACCATGATTGAAACCAATGATGAAAATCAAAATCATTAATTCCTGCAGGAAACAAAGAAAGGGCATTTTTAGCCACCAAATGGCCCGCCCGATTGTTTTGTCTTCCGATGAATTCCACCACAAAGCGAACATAATACTGCATGAGCCAATCAATTTGCTCGAAAATGATACCAACTTTGACATCCTGTATCTCTTTCCCCCTTACCTTATCGAGAACTATTTTTGCATCCTCTTGAAACACCACCTTACTGAGACCTTTCAAATAGCACCAGCGAATAGCATCTCGGAGCACTAGCTGTTCCACGGCATAGGGATCATGAATACATGCATAAAGAAATCCCTGCACAAAAACCTTTTTACCCGTTTTATATTGCACTATTAACCCCCCTAGTAGAATGCGAGCTAGAACTAACAACACCATCCACAAAACACACGAATGCTATCATATTTTGAGCCTCGTGGCTACAAGTGGAGGATTCGATGGCATTGGAAGAGCTAACTACTCTCGAACCTGATCTTGGTATTGTCACAAGAGAACGAAACTCATGTACTGGACATGATCGAACACAACCCAATTTTGGGCTTTCCAAATGCGCCACAGTAACGCAATAAGTCTCATGATTCTCTCCGCTGAGGAATCACATTCTGGACATGATCGAACACAACTCAATTTCGGGCTTTCCAAATGCGTCCTATTCAAGTCTTCCAGCCCTAGCCGAGCTGGACCAATGATGCTTCCTTCCCACAACTCGACCATCAACCTGCACTAAATGAACAAATATTCAAGAGATTCTAAAGGTTCTCAATACACCGGGAAAAGTGGTAGACATGAAATCCCTTTCTCCCGACAATCTTTTGTCGTGGGTAGAATACTGCGAAGCAATTGCCAAAGAAAAAACTTGAGTTTGGGCGGGATAGGGAATCCCCAAACTCGCTTCCAGAACACTGTATCGACAAATAATAATTCAAATTTTCCACCTTGGCTCCCTACGTCTATATTGAATGGCCATGTGATACCCGAACCGAACCGAGTAACGTCCATCAGGTTCTGCAATCCAAACTAGTCGATCCATTATCGGCAACCTTGGCAGCAAAAGACAAGCAATCTGCCGACGTAGGTCGGGTTGAAAGCATTGCTCCAAACATTCCTCACATTACTCGCCTGTTCCTGGATTTATCAATGCAAATATGTTTCCCCACCCGACAGAGGAGCTTGCAGTTTCAAATGTCTTGACACTATATTAATTCTAGGAATCCAACTATCTTCCAAATTGCGTACTAAAGCCCCACTACCAATCTGCCACCGCAAGCTTTTCTACAACAAGTCTCTTCCATATAACTTTTACGCCAACCCAAAGACGTTCATGAACGACCTGTCGCCTTTAGAAGAGAAGAGTATGGAAAATACTTTCCTATCAGAACCTGGGTTAACAAAGAATGTGAATCATTAAGCAATCTCCAGATTGCTGTTACTAGTAATGCTTGATTGAAGTCCTAAAATCCGCAAAATCTAGGATCCCCGTTAAACTTAATGCGACAAATTTTTTCCATGGCACCCAATGAGGCTTGTCTCCTTTGAACGAAAATCCCCACCGGAATCGTGCCATATGCTTATCCAAATTCTGGCAGAGAGTAAAAGACAATAAAAAATACTACATAATGTGTACAGGTAAGGCAGCTGCCACGACCTTAAGTAAGGTCTCTTTCGCCGCCCAAAACAAGCGTCTTTGTTTCTATCCTTGTATCTTGCTCCATAGTTTCTCTTCCAAATACCAGAAGGACTCTATTTTAGATCAATAAATTAAAGTAGGCAATTCTAAGTATTTATCATGTACATCCATAGCTCCAAGCCTCCAAACCCCAAAATAGCCATCATCTCTTGGTGATCTAAAACATCCACATCATGACTGAAACATACAGTAGATTTCAAAAGGTTAACTTTCTTTTCATTGTGGATTTGCTACTCATTGAGTACCTGTAACATAATATTGCATTTCTAGTTTGATGTTTTTAGGGAAAAAATAACAATCCTCTGCGTAGAACAAGTGAGAAACATTTGGACTGCGCAGACTCACTTTGATCCCTTTCAAAAGCCCTTTAGTTACTGCTTGACTTAATAATGCTTCGAAACCTTCAATGTAAATTACGAATAGAAGGGGTGATAAATGATCCCCTTGTCTCAACCCTCTTTGAGATCGAAAGTAATCGGATGATTTTCCCTTCATTTTGACTGAAAATGTTGCAGAAGATAAACATTCCTTAATCTAACCAATCCATTGCGCACTAAATCCCATTTTCTTTAGAAGTGCAAACAAAAAGGACCACTCGATTATATCATAGGCCTTTTCCATATCAACCTTCAAATCCATATAACCCTTTTTACTTTGCCTCTTTAGCTTAAGATAATGCATAATCTCGTGCCCTATTAGTACATTTTCAACAATCTTACGATCTCAGATGAACCCATTTTACTTTGGTGAGATAATTCGGGGCAAATGAACAGTCATCCTTTTTGCCAATATTTTTTATATAATCTTATAAAACAGTTGACAAAGACCAATCGTCCAAATTTGTTCCATTGATTCCACCGCATCCACCTTAGGGATTAATGTCAACCAAGTATGGTTGAAGCTTTTCAATATCCTGTTTGTCAAGAAAAAAGACCGCAATTCCTCAATCGCTGATTGTCCAACAATATCCAAGTATGCTCTATAGAATTTTCCAGTGAACTCATTAGACTCGAGAGCTTGTGTGGGCCATATTGAGAAAATTGCCCTCCGGATCTCATCCGGGAGCACCGTTGCAGTTAATCTAGTATTAATCTCCATCATGACAACCAAATCAATAGGCAGTGATGCAACTCTCTCCTCCATATTCTCGATCTTTGTTTCAATATGGAATAGGGTCTCATAAAAGTTCACATCCACATTGGCTTTGTCAATCTCATCTATAACCCATCTACCATTTGCATCTCTCAATCCTTCTATATGATTTCGCCCTCATCTAGTACGAGTCATCATATGAAAGTATGAGGAATTCTGATCCTCTTCCTTCAGCCACCTGTCTCTTGACTTCTGTATAAAAAATTTAGGATAAATACAATACATTAGCCACAACTATTATGAACCGGGAAATTATAGCCACAATTATTGTATTACAAATTATTAGCCACTATTACTGTTTCACAGAAACGGATGGCTAAAACGCCATTAACAGGTCAAATTTTGTAACGGAGCTGACCACGTCAGCTGCCACGAAGGATTCCATGTCGGATTAATATTAACCTTTTGTTTTCTTAATTTTTTTTTACCACTTTTCACCCTTTATCAATTAAAATCTTCCTCGTAAAACCTAGGTTGGATAACGGGCTAGGAGAGTGC